TTTTACTACACACCTGACGAGTTTTAATAAGAAACTTTGATTCAGATCTTAAACTACGACTAGGTACATAAAATTCGATTAATTCACATAGATAATTTGGGGCAAAACCATACAAAGATTTATACACTAGTAAAAGTAATTTGAAATTGATTCTTTGTACAACTGGTAACCAATGAAGTTTAATAAAAATGTCTGTAATGTGGTCATATTTTCGAGCACGAGTGACAAGGCGGGCTGCTGCATTTTGTACACGAATAAGAGGTTTTATCTTAGTTACAGGGAGACCAGACAATAATGAATTACAGCTGTCTAAGCGAGAAGATATGAATGCATGTACCAACTTTTCAGTATCAGATTGGGATAATGATTTACGAATACGATTAATATTTCTTAGATGGGAATATCCAGATCTACAAATAGTAGAAATGTGTGTTTCCATAGATAGCTGCGAATCAAACAAGACACCTAAGTTTCTAGCACTTGACGAAGCACTAACCAATTCTTCACCAATTGCGATACTAGACAAAGGACACGAGTCTTGTGAGAATCTCCGAGACGACATGCACACAAATTCAGTTTTCGACACATTCAAAAGTAGGAAATTACAAGACATCCAATCGCTAACGTCTTGAATACATGTCTGAAGTATCACCCGGGCGCGAATGAACAATTATATTGAGGGATGGCTTACAACATTCAACTGTTAAAATTTGAATCATGGGTTATGAGATATGACAAGCAAAGTCATAAGTGAACATTTTAAGCCATGTCCCATTAGTTCAGAATTAGCGAAAAATAAAATACATTTGTCCAGAAAAAAAACAAATTTTGATCAATTATGGTATTTATTTATATTCAGGATAAAGTTCAACAAAAGTATAGCAAGTTTTATTTATCTTATCATCTTCATGAAAAAATAAATTTATGCATTTTTTTTTCATGAGACTCCAATGTACTGTAAAACCATTTATTTTCACCAACGTTTAATCTTACTATTTTGATGTTTTGAGTAAATTCACTGTGTTTTAATTAATTTCCCAAATTTATCGGGGAAACAATGAGTTTTATTGTTATTTTACATGTTCACATAGATTTAATTTAGTGGATTTTACTTATCAGGAAAAATAGTGAAAATTAAAACCCAGTGAATAATTAATGCATTTACAGTATCCAACTTGAAATTTTTTGATGTCTCTAATTTTTACACATAGATCAAAGTTCATTAAACATCTGGTTTTACAGTTAGGATGCTTCTCAAATAAAGTTATTAAATATGTCATCAGACATGTGCAACTGTGATCACTTTACAAAGTATGTTTATTAATGCTAATTGCGCAAGTGATTTTGGAGACAGTTTGACAAATTTTATGAATAGTACAATGTAAAAATCTGATGGTCCAATGTTTGTGATGGCTAGTGTAATTTGAAATTAGTAGTACAGTAATGAGTTCTAGTACTCCAAGAGCCTGGACCATTGTGTTATTTTTATCTCAATAGCCTCAATTTCACACTGGTAGGTCATGAAAGGTTAGTGGAAGTCTATCTCCTTAATACGTCTGGAGTAATAACACATTTATTTTAATAATTGAATATTGTAAAAACACAATACACATGTAATATGAATTATAATTGTATTTTACTAAAATTAGTTTTAGGTCTTAAGAGTATTTGACTGCTTAATTGACAAAATTGAAATTCCAGAGGGAAATCAACGTTCACGTCTAAAAGTGGTTAAAATGCTACTGTATATTATTAAAAAAAACACTGTGCTCTGTAAGCATTTACAGTGATTGAATGTAATTACTTTGGAAACTGACAACTAATTGGTAAATGCTGTAGAAGACCAACTAATATTGAGTCATTAAAATAAGAATTGTAACTTGCAAGAAAATTCCAGTTATTCAGATTTTGCTTCTTTGTTAAGAAGGTCGAAAACGAGTAAAATGAGAATGGGTGATTAAACTTGATTTCATTTAAGTTGTGATATTTAAGCTGTTAAGGATTGTCTCCTACATGGAGTATACATGTATGAAGTAATTTGCAGAGATTGAACTTTACAGACATTAATTGATGCCCAACAAGTTAGTTGTTGCTGTCTGTAGAAAAATATTATTTCCGTCCTATAAATATATGCTAGGACAATTTCATTTATTTTGACTGAGAAACTGGATGCCCTCTCAATTCCAAAGTCCAGCATTTTTGTCATACACAGTATTATTTGCAATTAGGATACCTGTCAATCATAAAATTGTTGTGAATAATAACACAGTACCAAGCAGCTCTGTTTATTTGTTTATGATTGAGTCACAGTCGTTATCAATTTCTAATCAATAATTTGAATAAGACATTATTACGAAAGCAATTGCCAATAGCATTGGACTATTTTAGTGAGCAAAACTCAGGATTCACATAAGGAAAATGCTGTTATATTATCAAATGCATCCACCTCCAGGGTACTTAAGGGAATTGTCCTTTATAGACAGGTATCCTTCATATGGAGGCTAATTAATCAACCTCAATTTTTATATACAGGTTGCGTAAATTGCCCTATGGGTCCCTCAGGTAAGTGGTCTTTATATACAGGTGGTCACTAAACACAGGTTTGACTGTATTATACAATTCTCTCATCTAGTTGTCTAGCAATTTTATTCCAATTATGTTTTTTTTTGCACTGTGTTGTAATTGCAATTTTATTTTGTATTGAGATCATCAGTCACTCTTTGTAGCAATTTTCTATTCATGTTGAACAAATTGAGTAATAAATAAACGTTGTCTAAGTTGCTCAAGAACACTCTAAAAATACCTGTATACAAAACGGTTCAAGTGCTATATAAAATGGATTGAGTGTATCCAGCAACTAATTCAACAACGTAGACATTAAAGACACTTGTAGACTTTTAAAGCAAAGCAACAACAAACTCAGGGTCAGCTGAAATCCAAGGTCATGGACCTCAAGAACCATGGTTCATTCTATTTTTTTTTTAAATATACCCCGGTACATATAGTTCACATTGCCAGCCCATCACAAATAATATAAATACAATTAAAAGCACATCAGATGAGTAAATTTAGTTAAAAATCAGTTGTTGGTCATAATAATGAGCCACCCCTTGACTTTCAGTAATGTAAGAGGATGCACGGAAGTGCCGCTCCCATGTGTCGTTTCTAGATGACCGAGGTATTCAACTAACCAAGGTATCACAGTTCAAACACGGCCACAACAGCTGACTGGGTGTTGTGTCTACATGCCACCATGTTGCTAAAGATTTGTACGTGATATTAATTATTTCGAAATTTCATAATGGAAAGAAGTAGTATAAAGTAATCAGCTTCTTGTACATACACACTGACAATGGGAAGTAATTATTAATTACAATGATAATTTTAACGTCTTGTGTCGTATGAAAATATTTATTTCGATTATATCACAATATGCAATAAAAGGCCTTGATTTTGTTTATATTATGCTATATTATGAAAAAATTAAATACGAAGGTGGTCTCATGATTGTTGAGGTGATAAAGCATTAATTAAATTCCAATTAATTAATTTTCGTCATGTGTGCTAAACGAAATGTATACAATTATCGACGATCGTCTGTTCAAGCTAACCGAGTACTTTGTTTGAACATTGGAAAATATGTATATAAGCACCGACTGCCTAAGTAGAATGGACGACTATTTGATCTATCATGTTGGAGCGGGTTTGTCAAAGTATCTAACTAAAGGAAGGGTTCAAAGCCAGTTATCGAATAATCATCGCACGGACAGAGGCGTTTTCACACTAGCGACAACTCACCTTTTTCGACTTTCCCTTTGACTGCTGTTTCTTCAACATCAGACATATCTGTGTGTGGCAGTTGCCCGAAATATACGCGCACAGATAACAATGAAACACGAACGATAAAGTTTAAAAAGTCCAGGAGCGCTACATAAAGAAAAAACAAAACAATAACCCGAGCTCAGCTTCAATATGGCGGATCTCCCAAAAACCATTGCGAATTGTACGTGTATTCGTTACTCCAATAAGGTAGCCACCTGTTGCCGGTAGGGTCAAATGAGGGCACATAGCAAACCGAGACTGTAATTGTAAAATTTATGACAAGGAAAATATGGTCAAACATTGTCTTTCAAAATTAAAGGATACAGATTGATATTGACACAGAATGTAAATAAACATATAATGAATACACTCGTCGAATAGAAACCAATACACTTATTACGATTACGAGGTGACGAGATCTTACTAAAAATAGATCTGACGTAACCATTAAGATATTTTTAACAGCAGCTGAAATGCGTTACTTTGCTGTGATTTTCGACGATTTGCTGTGAATCCCGAAAGAAGCTAATGTCAATTTAATATCTAAATAATAAAATTTGATGTTTAAATTGTTTATGAAGTTATGTAGGACTGGTGATAAGCGTCATAAACGCGTGTCCACAGAGGGACCCCCCCCCCAATTCGCGACAGCCATGGCACAAACTAGTTAAACTTCTTCTTTGTTCTATCCATTCAGAATTTGAGATATGTTCAAGAAACTTTGATAAAAAAAAAACATAGTGTATGTTCTTCTGGTGCCACTTACATACGTGTCACTCTTGAAATAAATAAATAATAACTTTTCAAATAGTTTCTCAGAAAAACAATTCGATCGAATCGAACGGTAGTCCAACGCTTTTAAACTTCAATGACGATACATCGCATCAAATATATACCGACGAAAGATTGTTTTCCCGGAGGTTGGAGTGGTTGTGGGTCATTACAAATTTTAATTCAACTTGTTCACGTTTTCTCAAATTGCGTAGTTTATATTCGGAATCACCGGGACGGTAATTCTCTGCACACCGCCCCTATGCAATAAGTTCATTATTTACACCATTCGCTGACATGCTGGATATCCGTATGATGACGTGTTCGAGTTTGTGTGGTTGTAGTTAAACGAACGATTTTCGTTTTTTTGAATAGTGACTTTTTTTGTAGAGTTTCGCCTGCATTTATTCGACATTTTTGTCAAAATTTGACCTTTTTACAGAAATATTTGTTTAACTTTGTTACGCGGGCAACAAAGATCAGAAAGTTACTGTATCGACAAGGTTTTGGAATTGTATGGTTTGAACAACAAGCCGGAGACAGCAAAGTTTTCTTAGGTTTATTTCACGAAAGGTTATGTGATTGTTATCGCTAAGAATGGTCGGCAGCGATTGGTCAATCAGGTAGATTGCGTTGTTATAGTAACTGCAAATCTTTGTTCGAGCCAGAATTATATCATGGTGTATTATGACCTTGTCAATTTTGACCGAATAGTGATGAATTTGTTTAATTTTGTATTATAATGATTGATGTAATGGACGGAGGCCCTGACATTTGAATCAACTATTATTATTATATTATTATTATTAAAATCAACAATTAGGCAGCAATCAATATAATAAATTGATCGCTCATAGGTCGAAAGTCAGTGAACGACCTCGGAAAGCGTTTTGGTACTTTCAATCGAAAGAATACACCGAATACTTGCATGGTGGCGCTGTTTATAGATCTGTAATTATCGTGATTTTACCGTTATTTTTTCCGAATATGCCTGGAATTCAGAGCAAAAACTTGTATATATATCTCTCAATGGTCAAACTTTTTAAAGAGAATTTTTACGCAGACTTTCATACAGTCGTTTTACCGTTGTATTTTCCAATAAAGAGATATTGTTCAAGATTGGAATCTAAACTACATTGCGAAAAACAGTATTTGTAGTTTTAGTTTATATCAACTGACATTCTAACAACAAGAGTGAATTTCCCTAGCTCATACATTTGTGTTTCGAATTGTCACATCATCCTCAGCCTGATTAAGTCCTTATTAGCGTTATTTATAATGCTACCAGATGGATTATTCCAACAGTCGTTTGTCGATTACTAAACCCACCAGCAATAGTTGCCTGCTTCACCATCTTCCGAGTTTCAGGAAATCCATGGTTTTCCTCTACGTCATTTACACATACTTTTAAAAAAAGACACGAAAAATAGAAGACTGTATGTAAGTCTAGTTGATTTTTGACCAATATATCATGAATGTAGATGTCATTTTCGGGTATTAGACTGTTGAGAGATGCCAAAGTGAAAATCACTAGAATCAGAGGTGCATTACTTGTAATGTAAATCATGTACCTCTACTAGAACCTATCATGAATGTTCATACTAAATTATATATGTTATGAAAATAAACATTGTGGATTCCTTATTGGTCTTTAAGGTCATATCCTCTATACTTGAAGAATAAGCTACAAAAGGCGAATATATTGGCCACGAAATATGAATTATTGCAAATTATATATATATAATATATTCGTATTCACTTTTTTGTATCTAAACTTGCGACTGAGTCAAGTGCCAACCAATGAAGAAGTTGAAGAGACCTTTCCAAGTTTGTTGACATGTTTACAAACTGAACGATCACTTTTTTTCGACAGATTGCCAAAATATATTAAATTTCAACCCTTTGACTGTTGTTTCATTTGATTTTGACAAAATGACAATGTGTTACCATAGTAACCAACTATTTTAACCACTGGATACATGTTGGGATTTATAAATAATTTTTACGTTTTTGGTGCAAATTTGGGTAAAAAGTGTCAAAAGAGGCATTTTATCGAAAACCAGCTTCAGACTTTTTTGGCATTAGGCTGATAAATAAAAGTGCATTTAATCTCTTGGACTAAAAATGCTGTCACGGATGCTTATCTTGTCCATAACCCTGCAATAGGTCTATGTCTTACCATGGTCATACCCGTAAGTCATCACACATGCGCAGACGGAAATCCAATATGGCGGCGCCCAGTTTGGGTGTTTTGGTAAGTCCAGAAAAAAAATTATTTGTTTGTACTCGTACGACCAACGGCAATTCATCAACTGTACTCATTGCTAGAAAACATGTCATATTCCACGTCAAGGATCTTTCGATCGGCCCTTAAATGTCTTTTATTGTATGGTTTGATAATTGTTTTATTTATCCGGCCAAACACCGGAAGTGGAATTTAAAGACATAAACAAGGTCGCAGTGACTAAATGTTTCTCGTTTTGGATTATGTCTCGGCAGCAGCCAACTATGGCTAATAAGCAAAGCGAAGTGCTATATCTAATGATTTGTGTCGAGTATGTTCGGAAAGGGACAATATTGGGTTGAATTCTCGGACTAAGCTTTGCGGTGAGCTTTCCCAGATTACAACATGGAGCATATTTTAATTTTCTTTTTAATGGCTAACAAGAGACAAATTCGGAATGTACACAATACTGAAGGGGTTACGTCCTGCTTATTGATCTAAATCAATGCATCGTAAAATTATACCCCATTTGTTTTTATTCGGGTGACCTTTTGTCAACTATGGGTCAATTTCCGTAGCATTGATCACCACATGGTACGAATAAGCAGTACCTTAGTTTTTTCTACTTTTTATGTAACCATTTTTATTCATTTGTGGAATTTTATTTGTTTCTTTAACTGGAAAAGGAAGTGTGAAGAAGACAGAAGATTGTTTCGTTTGTGTGGGGGAAAACAGTGGTATTAATCTGAAAATCTATTGTCTGTTCTCGTTTTTGATTGGTCCTTGCAACGTTTGAGGGATCATGATGTAGCTCTGTTATTGAGAATATTAACAATAGGACTGATGTAATCGTTAGCCACAGTCCCTCTATCCCCGGTCTGGAAACAACTTGCGTTCTTTTGTCTCGAACCGCGGTGCGGTAAACAAACCGTTCACACCCAGGCCGAGGGATTCAGGAAGTCAGACAGATTACAATACACAAAGCGATACCTCATTGTATGACCTCACTTTGACTTCAAATTCGGGCAACCACAACGTAAACAAACATGTAAACAAAATTATCACTATGAAATTTGGGTTTGTTGAACCCTGATACGCATCACAACCAGCCTACCAACTCATAAACATCCAGTTCCTGCAATGCAAAAATTAATATCGGGAATTATGTTCATTTTCTCGTTTTAATAGGGAAAAAACTTCGCGTGCCAACATGCTGACATCACTAAACAAATCTTGTCAAATTGGCGTGGTTCTTGTTAACGTAGTTGATCGAAAAATCTGTGATATTTCTGATTCTTGGGGGGTTCATAACAGTTCAAGTCAACTATACAACAACTAATGACTTTATTCTATGCAAAAGTATATAACAATGCTTCAATGTTTCTATATACATGATTTTTTTAGCACAGAATTGAGTACATTGTCATTTCAAAACGTCGCCATTTGCATTTACGATCTAAAAAGCATCCATAAAAATTACATCACTGAAGACTAAAATACTATTGCTAAAAATACTCGAAACAATTATTTGGGGCAAAATGAGCTCTTGTCTTTGAAGCACATTTCTGAAGGTGTTTTGTTTTGAATGACACTACCACCTATATTTTTTTCTTGAATATTTTGATTTCTTCCACGTTCTGTGATAGTTCTGCAATAACGGGAGAACTGTGTAGACATATTATTGACCAATGGAATAACAGTGCTTGAACTTTTGTATTTGAAATCACACCCAATTTCAAGTCCGAAATGTAAACATAAAAATAGGTGAATGACTCAGAGCATGCATCCAGTTAAGGTGATGTGCAGAAAGACAAACACACATTGCAGAAATTGTGGAAATGTAAAAAATAAGTACACGCGCAGATGTGATTACAAATATTTTTAAATGCTTAAAAAATTATAGCTATAATAAATTGTTATTTCTGTTTCAGAATGAAAACTTGGGATATGATATAGAAAATGTAAACTGTTCACTGCCATTACAAAAGTTTTTTCATCAGTGCGTTGCCACTACAGTGCAATATGTAGGATTTTTTATTGGAGTTTCGTCTGTCTTTCTCTGGCTTATGGCCCATCTTATGTAAGTCTTTCATTACATTGAACTATTTAAATTTGAAACCTTGATTTGTTTTGTGCACACTTTCAAATGATTATGTAGTTTAACCGTTTAACAATTTTTTCTAATCATATGTACCAAAGTTTGTCGCATTTTTGTAAAATTTGTTACAGGTCAACATTTTTGAAAAACTATGGAAATGCTTTACTGGGGGTATTTTATATTTATGGGGACAAATGTTATATCAAACAGCTATAATCTCACTCTGGAATTTTGTTTTTACGTTTATTTGTGTATTTTGAATTCTGGTACAGTGAAGGACACAAAGCTGGGGGCTTTGCTTATAAACAGATCTATGAAAATTTGCCAATACTGATCGTGAACTTTCATTCATTTTAAAATATTCGATGATGATTGGCTCAAGAGTTAATCATTGTCTACGCCCATAGTGCATGCAGATGCCTTCACATGACTTAGAAAATCAATATTATTATTATTTATAATAATCCCAGCTTCTTCTCTTTCACTGTATTACCAGAATTTGAGGTTGTCTATAAAATGTTGAACAAGCAACAAAATGATTCCAAAACCAGAATTGCGAGACTGTAAAATTTATAGTAACGTCACTTTGCAAAAGTATATTTGTCACCGTATACAATTCTAAGTTAGGCATAATTTTTTCGAAAATTTCAATCTGATTAAATTAGAGTCTTAGGTTTTTGGCTTATTCAAGAATACAAAGTTACTTGTGACTAACGTGAATGAGTAAACTCTGTATCGACTATGAGCTGTTATCACTCTTAAAAAGTGTTAAATTCTTCTTCAATGCTCATGTTATCTTTCAAAATCAACTAAATACTTGATTAAAAAAAATAAGCCAGTTTTCCTATCAAAATCGATGCCAAAAGATCGTAACATCAGTAAATATCTACCGTGTTGTGTTCACCATTAGGTCACTGAATTGCATTAACAAATGCGCTATTTTAATTTAAATTTGTTGGCACCGTTCAACTGATAGGTGATAGGTCAATTTATTCACTTGTAAAACACATCATGGCCAGATTGTGCTACCATGATCATTGCTCTTAAGCAATGCATTCATGTTTGTTTTTATTTGAAACTTATTTTATACTTATTCTTTTTGTGATGCCTATTTTTAAACCAAATAAGGCCTTTCATACTTCTTTGACACCTAATTATTTACAATAAACAGTATTTACATGTAATTCTGTGATATTTTGTCTATGTTTGAGGTTGTTACACATTTCTCACTATTTGTGTATATTCATATCATCACAAATGTGATGTAATTGAACCAAATAACATTAGTGTGCAACTTTAATTTATTGGTACTGAAACAAGTGTCACATGTTTTGTACATTACTCATTGATTTAATTTACGAGCTTTTTCAGTCCCAGCTGACCATGTACTGCAAACAAATAATTCATAAACCTCAATTATGTTTTCCTCCAGATTACGAAATTAAAAATACTACAAAATGCATAATTTTAAACCATTTATTTTCACTACTGTAAAATCTGTATTAGAAACCGTGACTTCTATCAAAATAGTACAATGCAACAGAGGGGATGCGGCTTCTATTAGAGCATGTACACATATGAGAAATGATTAATTTTTATTCTCAATTATTCAAAAAGAATAGGTGTGACTTCTATTAGGGATGTGGCTTCTAATACAGATTTTACGGTATTTTTAAATTTTGAGCATATTCACTAGGTTTTAAGTTCAGGCATTTGGCAGAGAAACTATAAGTTCTATTGTTATTTGTGGATTTAAATAAGCGGTTTTGGCTTATCAGTGAAAATAGCAAAATTAAAACCCGGTGAATAATTAAAGCTTTAACAGTGCACTGAAAAATGTATTTATCTTAATACATAGGTTGTATTTTTAGACTGTTTAAATGTTGGAGTTTGTTTGCTTGTTTGTCTTAATTTTAGGTTTACAATATTTTACTGGTATTAATTTTTAATAAATCAGTGTTTTTGTAAATCATTTAATGTGTGGACTAACCATTGATCCTATTATCAAGTAATATATGCAATAATCAGATAAAATAACTTAATCAGAACAAACTAACAACTTTTTCTCACCAGGAAGAGTTTCAGATTATAGCTCCAACGTGAAGCGTGTCAATAAATAACGAAAATAAAAAAGGAGACAATATGCATTTTTGGCATTCAGCAATTTACCAGTTTAAAAACTCAACACTAGATAAAGAATACCAAGGGACCAATCCAGATTTTCAGAACTGCCCAAGGCTGATATATTGTTATGCCATTTAAATTTCTGGCTTATTTGACTATCTTAGCAACAGAAATTCACGGTGTATCAACAGAACTTACATGTATTGACAAAAAAATGTATCTTTTTGGCTAGCTTGTGGTTGGAATATACATGTACTAGGATTCAGTAGGTTGTCCACTTCCTGGCAAAATTCTAATTTTTAGTTGTTTCTGTCAAATCTGACTATCGCATGGGGAAAAGTGGATTGTATGCCTAGATTTGCACCTGAATAATTTTACACCATTCAATAAAAAATGTGATTTTAGTTTCTTCACAAATTGTGGCACAAGCAATGTAATCTCACAGGTGACTTCTATAACACAGTCCTATGTCCTTGTTGCTTTCTGGCAGGTCTGTATTATTAACTTTTTCTATCAATGTAAATAAAATAAAATTTAAAATAATAAAAAAAATAACATTTTCATCTAAACAGAGAATAATATTTTGTTCACTTTTGAATATTTTAAATAAAGTAATTTTAATATACCTGGCTCATTCTCAGTTTATATAAAGGTTTTAATATCTTTGTTAAAAATTAAACCATTATTTACCTATCTGAAGACAATTATTTCCCTTCAAAAAGTTTATTTCATAAGATGTATGATTCATTTCTTGACAGATTATTTAAAATTCGTCAATCAGATGGTACCTTTGGTATAAAGACATTTTTTTATCTAATTAATATATGTATAGCTGATATATTCAATCTAGTTGGTGCCGCGTTGACAGAGCAACTAGGTACACAGGTATGTCACATATATTACAATAGATTTGGCTTTAATCATAGTTTTTACCAAAATTGCAGATTTGCAGTTCAGGAAGATTTTAATATTGTCATGTGTGTTTGTGCTATATTTGTTCTACATGTGTTAGAAGCGGAACCCCGATAAAAGCCTATCCTCAGGCGCGAACATCCGGGCATTTTCACAAAGGCCAAAAACCCCCAAGGATATACTGTAAAACCATTTATTTTGACTGGCATTTAATTTCACTATTTCAGTGCTTTGAGCAATTTCACTGGGATTTAAGTTTACTAACTTGGCAGAGGAACAATGAGTTCTTTTGTTATTTTACATGTTCATATACATGTGGATATTGCTTCTCAACAAAAATAGAGAAATTAAAACCCAGTGAATAATTAATGCTTTCACAGTAAACCAATTGTCATTGTTGTACATGTGTAATAAAATAAGTCATTAAAATATTACTTATTTTTATCGTTGACACACATCTGTTATTTGTGTAAAAGAATAATATATGTGGTACAAATGGGGCAAATACGGACAGTTCTACGGTTCAGTACCGGTATGTTTGATATGCTTTGAAATTGTTTCCAAAATCTTGTGTGATGTGCTCTCTTGAATAAATAATGATTTGAAATGTGTACAATCTTGTTCTGGTATATTGTAAATTTCCAAAATTGTATACATTGCTATGGTTACACTGAAGTTATAGAGAGTGTAGCCTACTGGAAACACATTAATTATCAATTTTGCTGATAAGCATTGTTCGCTAAATTAAATCCATGTGAACATGTAAATTAACAATGCAACTAAATGTTTCTCTTACAAATTTGTGAACATAAAACCCTTTAAAATTGCTCAAAACATCAAAATAGTGAGATTAAATGTCAGTGAAAATAAATGATTCTACAGTAATTAAAATGGTACCCCGTAAGTTAATATTGTTAACATTCTCTCATTAGAACAATCTGGAAACAAACTAAATTTCTTTCAATAATTCACATTTGTTAGACAATATTCATACACATCCTAAACGCTGCTCAGAACACGCAACTATACACAAAAAAAAACTGCCTTAGACAGTCAAAGTAACATTTTATGATGGAGATTTTAAAATTAAAAAAAAAACAGAATCTGTCTTGAACTAGTCCACCATATTAAACCTACTTCACGCTGTACATTGGTTTAACCTTTTTACCACTAGACTTTCTCTAATTTTGGAGCCACCAGACAGAATTTGAGTTAAGTTTCAGTGTTTACTCAAGAAAATTTGCTATTTTTGTCCCAATCTCTTGAAGGAAAGTGCAAACTATAAACGGGGCTATTTTGTGAATTTGTGATGAAAAGAGGTGGTGAAAAGGTTAAGGCATAGACATACTTGTAGAATACTGTACTTTGTGTGTGATTTCCAACTTTTTTAGCTCCGCTGTCGACTTTGTCGAGCGGAGCTTATCATATGAGTGATTGTCCGTCGTCGTCTGTGTCAATGTTTTACTTATTCAACTTCTTCTTGAAAACTACAAGCCTGAATGCTTTGATATTTGGTGTATATGTACCTTGGGTAGACCTCTCTCAGATTTGTTCATTTCATAATCATATCTTCAATTCTCTAATTTTGGTGAATATTTTTGTCATTTTTGGTAAAAAGTGATATTTTCGACTTCTTGTTAAAAACCGCAAGTCCAATTGCTTTGATATTACATATATAGGTACTACATGTGGATCTATCTCAGATTTGTTCATTTTGTAATGATATCTTTAATTCTCTAATTTTGGTGAATATTTTTGTCATTTTTTGTAAAAAGTGATATTTTCGACTTCTTGTTAAAAACCGCAAGTCCAATTGCTTTGATATTACATATATAGGTACTACATGAGGACCATTCTCAAATTTGTTCATTTCATGATGATATCTTTAATTTTCTAATTTTGGTGAATATTTTTGGTAAAAAGTGATATTTTCTTCTTGTTAAAAACCACAATCATTTATGGTGAAAAATGATATTTTTGAATTCTTGTTGAAAACAGTAAGTCCCATTGCATTGATACTATGCATATTGTTCATTTTCTAATGATATTTTCTGTTCTTTAATTGAAATGTGCATTGCTAACAGCGGAGCTATCTCAGCCGTGAGGCTGCTTGTTTATGTTTTGCATTGTATTTTTGTTCTCTTTCAGATTTTAACTGCTGTGTTTTTTGTCTTCATGGATGTCTTATTTTTTATTCAATTCTTCTGCGCAAGGTGTGCATGTTGTGGTGCTTATTGCAAGAAATATAAAAACTCCTGTGGTAAGCTACATTGTATTTAGGCATTCATATTTGATTTGCAACCTGATGTGTGACATAAAAGACACTTTTCATGAGTCTGGCGCCCTCACAGTTTCATATGGACAAGGCCAGAAACTCAGAAAGAGGCTCCTGAGAGAAGTTTTTTCTGCATTCATATTCATAGTCACATTTTTTTTGGAGCCTCTAAATGGCACTTTTTCGAGTTTGTCATCAATAAATAAATGAAATAAATAGATTGGATTGTAGTTATCACATTGCATTCTCAGTGTCTACACCAGCTGCCATCATAATCATCTTTAACCTGTTCCAAATTTCAACTATGTATGAGGATCATAGATAGTGGTTAATGGTTGGTTGTGTGCACGTCTTCTTAAAAATGTTAAAACCTTTTTTTTTAAATTACAGAACATTGTGTTTGTACCATAACTTTTTGAGCTGATGGAATTTGGCTGGCTACTTTTTTGGTCTTGAAATTTATCAGCTTATTGTTTTGCCTAATATCGAACAGTGACAATAAGTTATAATGACATAATGAAATAATCAGCTAATTGGTTTCAGAGAAGTCTGTCACATTGCAATTATAGAACATTGTGTATGTTTTGTAAGACACAAACATATCAACGCAATCTTTAAATCGCAATGATTTGCCATTCTGGTCCTCTATTTACATAGCAACTTGTTGGTGGAAACAACGACGCCGACAACAGAGCAAACAAGTGTATTGTCTTATCGTGCCGTGGTTGATGTCTGGTGTGTATTTATTTTCAAAGTTTCTTCCAACTTATTTAATGGGAATTTCCCATCCACATGTCAAGAGTACAGGGAGGGTTCTACTGTCCGTCTTGGAGGTACGTGGTATATTATTGGATGCTGACATCGCATTGAATCGGTTGTTAGCATATTATATACTAGTAATACAGACAACAAAAGTAATGAAAATATCAAAGCAGTGAAATTGAATACCAGTGTAATTAAATAGTTTAACATAGACTGGCCCAGCTGTGGATATTTTATAATTTTATTTCTTAAATCGTGGTCCGACTGGTCGATTCTGCTGCATATCTATTGCTATTACCTATTCATGATATGCAGTGACATTATGGAACCTGGCAGTGGAACACTTCCAATAGAGGAAATTATGTATTGGCTCGCACAAAAAATTTGACCCGCCATGCCACGCATGCATTGTAGTTGCGTAGAACAGATCAGACCAAAAGCTGTCTTTCTTATTGGTTGGCAGCTTACATGTCATGCTACTCATTAGCATATTTATCACCACAAAAACATGGTGACAACTATAGAGAGTGCTGCAGAACAGACCAGTTGTGGTAATTTTGTGGAAGATTCTACAAACTCATTCTGAAGGATTTAGCATATCAAAAAATAAAATTGCCATGACAGGGCCAGTCTAAGTTTAACAGTAAGTCCTGACAATAAGTATGTCAGAGTGCTGCTGCAATATCATAACATTTTATACAAATAAACATACATGTATGAACACATCTGATTGTCTTGACGTGGCCTGGTACCGGTACTATAATAACACACTGTTTTTGTATCTATATTACAGGACAGAAGCAGTGAAATTGGATATTCATTAGGGATTTGTTCTACAGCATTGTATTGGATATCACGGTTTCCAACGATATATGATGGGGTATGTAGACATTCACATAAAATAAATGTCGTGAATAAATGGCAGAAGTATTAACAAAAGAGTTAATGACATTTGTTTTGAAAACATGTGTTTCTTAAAATCGAAGTCGAATCTGCGATGGTGTTCCCTCGCTCACAAAGGCGATTGCGCTCCCTAGAAATATCTCCCTAAACAACAACATGTAGACTTGACTTTCTCCCAAATCTCTTCAGATAATCAAAAAACAAAGATATTCTGAATTACACATACAGTCAAGCCTGTGTTAGTGATCACCTCTATATAGAGACCACCTGCCTATAGTGACCATGTTTAGGCAGTCTTAAGGCATGGCCTGTGAAAAAGATCACCTGTCTTATGTGACCACCCTTTCAGCAATTGTTTTGCAGATTCGCCTTTCTTTAGAAATCCAAATATTATATAGCAGTTTGTTTATAAAACAACAGTATTATCTCATTATTTCAAATTTACATATTAATGAAATTATCCAACTTTCTTAGCTCCGCTGTCGACTTTGTCAAGCGGAGCTTATCATATGAGTGATTGTCCGTTGTCGTCTGGCGTCCGTCGTCGTCCGGCGTCCGTCGTCCGTGTCAATGTTTTACTTTTTCGACTTCTTCTTGAAAACTACAAGCCTGAATGTTTTGATACTTGGTGTATATGTACTTTGGGTAGACCTCTCTCAGATTGTTCATTTCATGATGATATCTTTAATTCTCTAATTTTGGTGAATATTTTTGTCATTTTTGGTAAAAAGTGATATTTTCAACTTCTTGTTAAAAACCGCAAGTCCAATTGCTTTGATATTACATATATAGGTACTACATGTGGACCTTTCTCAGATTTGTTCATTTTGTAATGATATCTTCAATTCTCTAATTTTGGTGAACATTTTTGTCATTTTTGGTAAAAAATGATATTTTCGACTTCATGTTAAAAACCGCAAGTCCAATTGCTTTGATATTACATATATAGGTACTACATGTGGACCTCTCTCAGATTTGTTCATTTTGTAATGATATCTTTAATTCTCTAATTTTGGTGAATACTTTTGTCATTTTTGGTAAAAAGTGATATTTTCGACTTCTTGTAAAAAATCACAAGTCCAATTGCTTTGATATTACATATATAGGTACTACATGTGGTCCACTCTCGAATTTGTTTATTTCATGATATTTTAAATTCTCTAATTTTGATGAATATTTTTATCATTTTTGGTAAAAAGTGATATTTTCTT